TCCCCTTAAAACCCTCTAAGGAAGGAGATTCCACCGCCACCTCCCTAGGTAACCCATTCCAGTGCTTCACCACCCTCCTAGTGAAAAAGTTTTTCCTCATAGCCAACCTAAACCTCCCCCACTGCAACTTGAGACCATTACTCCTTGTTCTGTCATCTGGTACCACTGAGAACAGTCTAGATCCATCCTCTTTGGAACCCCCTTTCAGGTAGTTGAAAGCAGCTATCAAATCCCCCCTCATTCTTCTCTTCTGCAGACTAAACCATCCCAGTTCCCTCAGCCTCTCCTCATAAGTCATGTGCTTCAGCCCCCTAATCATTTTTGTTGCCCTCTGCTGGACTTTTTCCACATCCTCCTTATATTCTTCTTAGAGTGCTTGTTCATGTCGATTCCAATCAGGTGTGTGTGTGCGCATGTGCACAATGGCCGGAAGATTTTTCCCTTAGCAGCATCCGTCGGGTCAGCCTGGGCACCCCCTGGAGTTGTACCTTCATGGTGCCTAATATATGGCCCTGGCAACCCGCCACCCCTTCAGTTCCTTCTTACCGCCAGTGACAGTGGCTCGAACTTTCCTTGGCTCTTGCTCAGCAAGTTTCTTTATTATTCCATGTATATAGTTAATTAGCTGTTGGTAGTACTCCAGTTAAAGTTTAGTATAGTAGTTGGGGCGGGGGGGGGGGAGGAGGGTTCCCCCCTCCCAATCTGGCCCTGGCACTGTGGTATGCCACGGTCACCGGGATTTAAGAACTGTGAGGCATGTGCTTGGCACATGCATAAGAGTCATCCGCACTTGTCGTGTCTTAGGTGCCTGGGGGAGACCCATCAAAAAGATCATTGCAAGATCTGCTGCGAGTTCTGCCCAAGAACACTTAAAGAACGGGAACAGCGGCTGAAGGTGATCCTCATGGAGAAAGCCTTGCGCCCCGTCCTGACCCGGGCTCGAGAGACGTTGGCGCCGAGGAAGGACTCCTCCAGGGACGCTCGGCACTGACACAGCTCCTCACAGGGCCAATCTGATGATAGGCACTGCTTCCACTCGCCGGTGCCTTAAAAGAAGAAAAAGCCGGACGACCGTTCTCCTCTGGCTAAGCCTCGAAGTGCGACCCCAGGCGGGCCACTCCTCGGTGTCTCCTTCTGGGGCCGTATCGACTCCTGTCCTGGTGAGGCAGTTGAGTCTGTCCCCACCTCGATCTCCGGCGCCTACACAGCAGCTTCAGCTCCCATCCACACCAGAAGCGTACCAGGCCTCCAGAGATCTCCTCGCCTGCCAGGGAGGAACCCTCAGCGCTGACGGAGCCCCGTCCTCCAGTGCACTCTAAGGGAAAGTCGGCTATGATGTAAAGGCGCTCCCCTTTGCCTTGTCCATCGGCACCTACATGCTCAGACAGAGAGCCTTCCCGCTCCCTGAGCCTTCGACGTTTGAGGCACTGAGGATCGGCTGCTCCGTGGTCTTCAGTGTCTGAGACCTCGGAGCCCGACTCCTATCGCTCAAATAGGAGCAGAAACCCATAGAACGAGGTCAGCAGAGACGGAAGGGAGCATCAGGCGTGCGTGGCCTCCGCAGTGGCAGAACCTGCCTCAGTGGCCCTTCTGGACTCGCTGGGCTTATCACCAGGGCCAGGGAGGAACCTAGGGCCCACGCTCAG